GATCACACAGCGATTATACACGCGCTTAGATGCGGTCTGGGGCGTGACACCTCGGACGAACAACACCTAAAAAATTTTCAAAACTGCAATTACACCCTCCTGAATTTCAGCATCTAGATCCACCCCAATTGCCACTTTCCGATTGGGGGGGGAATCAAGGTTGACCTGCTCTAAGAGAGTAGCGGGTTCAGGATGTGCCTCGAACTCCGTTCGACGAGTTTCCACCTCAATACTGTTTACCTGCATTCCACGGGTGTTTATCTTTTTCAAGGCCTCCCGATAGCAAGTTCGGGCTGTTGCTGGATCTGTTCTGGCCACTCCGACTCCGGTGTCCGTTGGGAACTTAATACATGAATGTCGGACGGAAGCTATTGCTTCTAGATCTTCCAACCCTGGTCGGCCCAAATTGGCATTGTGGGCACATTTGATGTACACCACCATGAAAGTAATTCGGGTTGATGCCTTGTGTGTCTCATCTCCAACCTCTACTAGCAGTTGGATGGTTCCTTCTGCTTCGATGCAATTCCCGGCAAAGCTCGCAAGCGGTGAAGCGGTGTCTTCAGATGGGTCAGCTGGTTTCTCTACAATCCCATTTTCTCGAACGTGTGCAAGTATAACACGTTCACACTGCTGCGTGTATCGATCAATATCCGGCGAATTAGAGCGTCATCGATACACATACTTATCACCAATTCGTCCCTGTGCAGACTCGGTGAGTTGGGCAAACCAGCAGGTCCGAACGTGATCAGATCCATTCTTCCTTTCTTGGGGGGGGGGGGGGGGTGGACACGGATCCCACATAGAGGCTCCGTTCAAACCGTTTTCGTTCGGCATTTGAATCTCTTGTTTCCCCACCACCGAATATGACCTTCACCTCCATCCTTGGCTTTTTTCAGGGTTCTCCGAAATCTCAGCTTCGTCTCTGGGGGGAATGTAAACATCATTCCTGGGGCAAGTATCACGCTGATAATCCCGTTTCCAGCTGTTGGGTTTCTTGACTAGCTTTAAGATGCATACAACGTTCGGGTCTTTATTCACATATTTCTCCAGATGACCCCGCTGGATCAATTCCTCAATTGCGACGTGTAACGCTCGACAGGAATGGGTAGGATGACCCTTCGTCTTGTGGTATTTACAAAAGGAATTCTCATCTGCCCCCATGTAACCTTTGGTATCAGTCGGAAGGGGAGTATTATCCTTCTCGTTCTGGTAAATGGTTGCAACAGACAGAACCAGAGGTATGAAGCGTCCTGGCTTTAGAGGGGGTGCGGCCGCTGGGACAGGACCCAGCCGATCGGCCAGCCTTGTTGGGGCAGAAGGTGTAACCACGCGATCCCTGATCGTGATTTCTTCCTCCAGGGTAGCATGTTTTCGGGCCCTATCTAGCACCTCAGCATATGCCGTACCCGTATTCTTTTTTAAATCCTTGTATAATTCTCCGGTTCGGAGGGCATCAGTAAACAGCGTGATTGTCGTATCCTCCGTCATGCTTCTAACTTTTAGGGTCTCATCCCTCCATCTTTTCAGAAACTGATTAAGGACTCTCTTGATCCCTGCTTGACACTGATCAGATAACTGAAGTGCCATTTTGGAGTAGCGCTGGAGGCAAATTGTGCCAAGAATAATAATGATAAATCGGCAAAGCTGCCGATCGATCCGGGCTGCAGGGTCCCAAACCATTCCTGGGTGGGGCCCCTGAGCGTGCTGAAGAACAGTCGGCAAATGGCTGCCTCAGTCGCTCCCAGCAGCATGAGCCCTCCTTGGTAACTTCTCAGATGCACGTGGGGATCTCCCGCCCCATCATATGTCAGACCGGTCGGCGGTTTGGCATCCCTTTGAATCTTTGCGTACATTATTTCTCGAGTAAGGGGGGAAGTGATCTCAGCCTGTACTGGGGTGGGTTATACGGGTGTCATGTTCATTTGGTCCCTCATGTCGTTCATCTGTCTCCGCATTTCGGCCATTTCTTCCTCTTGAGCCGTTAGGGAAGGCGGTGGTGGAGTTCTCAGGTCTTCATAATCCCGATCCCAGTGTCTCCGGGTGGCTCTAGCGCCATCACGCCCTTCATTCTAGGAGTGACGACCAACCAGTGTGGGTCCTCTGGCTCGTGACTCGATCGGGGTGCGGTCACTGGGGGTGTGGTGCCTAGCTGTGTGAGCCCCACGATGATCTTCCTGATTGGCCCGTGAATGTGCTGATGTCGTGGTTGTTTCTGCATCGAGGGTTCCCGCTATATGGCTGGATTGGCCCCCGTCACTCGGGCTAGATCTCGCATGGCATGAGGGTTCCTTCTCAGTGCTTCGGGGATGAAGAAATCCCCATCAAAGTGGGGGTAAGACCCCCAACACGATTGCCCATGGGGGGTCCGGCTCGCCGGAGTCCTGCTCCTTCCGTGACGCTCCGAACTATCATTGGTATTGTAAGAACTGATTCTGACCATTTTGAAAGTAGATTGTTTTGGGTAAGTGATTGGTGTGAAACTTTTTGTCCAAGTTTCCCACAGACGGCACCAATGTTAAGGTTAAGTCCCCGTATACCCGAAAGCCCAACACAAACTTTGGATATTTCAGGATATGGATAATGAATCGAGTGTATAGAAAATATAAAAGCTGGATAATAATATGCTCAAAAGCCCTCTTGTATTAAGTTATTTGCTGATTACACAGGAAACTTCCCGAACGGTACGTCGGAATAGTGATTAATACAATAACAACAATGAGAAAGCTATTTTAAGGCTTGAGTATCAAAATGCTAACCTTTTACAATGAGATTAATGCCTTTATTTATACTAATGGGTGTATGGTGTGCTTCATGTTGATTGATTGCTAATCCACCGACTTGAATGCCCATGCTTCTACTTGTTGATGTCGCATTCTGGCATTTAATGCACCTTGCCACCTGTAAGTTGTCTATTGCCCGAACGAGGTAGTGGCCCATGCTGGAAACATCGTTGATTTGGCCCAAGTACCCTGTGTGTCTCGATCTCCGTTCGGCACAAATATCTTACAGGGCATGCTCTTTATCTGGATTCCGGGCTAACTGTTTAGACTGGATATTCTGGGCCTCTGATTCGGGTATTGGGCCTTCGGACCAATATCCCAACAATTATTATTATTATTATTATTATTATTATTATTATTATTATTATTAAGGGTGTGCACGGGTTCAAAACCGGACCGTACCGGACCGAACCGGACCAGAACCGGATTTTCCATGATATGCAAACCGAAAATCGAACCAGATGTATTCCGGTTTTTACCTGGAACTGAACCGGTTCATCCGGTTCAAAACCGGAACCGGACCAATTCATCCGGTTCAAAACCAAAAACCGGACCGGATCTATTCCGGTTTTTACCCGGAACTGTACCGGTTCATTCGGTTCATCCGGTTCAAAACCGAAAACCGGACTGAATATCATTCCGGTTTGATCCGGTTCCGGTTTTCCGGTCCCCGATTCGGTCCGGTTTTCCGATTTAAACCGGATAGTGCACGCCTCTAATTATTATTATTATTATTGTTATTGTTATTGTTGTTGTTGTTATTATTATTAGTATTATTACTTTTATAACGAATAGACAAAATTTTATCATGCTGGAAGCAATATTATAATTTTTAGTTATAAATTAATAAAATATAATTAGTTATGGATTATAATATATATATGTAAAACTTTTGCAAAAAATATAAAAAATAAAATTTCAGAGCAGACCAGGCCAGACCAGATCAGACCAGACCAAAACAGACTAGACCAGACCAGCAAATTACGTCCAAAGTAAAAACATCCTTAGCCGAGTTTAGCCAATTTTAATGTCATGGCAATTTTCCAGGCAATTTATACCGTGCAACCGGCGCACCATGAGGATGGTGCGCCCGGTTGCAAAACAACGCTGGCTTCATTCAAAACGACGCAGGTGCAGTGGTTTCATTCCATTATTTTTTATTTCTTTTATTGTTAAAAATTGTAATAACTTTTTTATTTGATATCCGATTTTTATAAATTTTATATCAAATTTTTTAATTTTTCATGATCTATCAAATGAGACCAATATTGCTTATTTAATTTTAACAAATTATTTTGAAGTTACATTTGATAATATATCATGAAGTTACATCTTCTTCTACGCGAGTTACATCTTATTGTACGTGAGTTACATCTTAATATACGCGAGTTACATCTTAATGTATGTGAGTTACACCACGAAATAAACCCCTGCTACATCTTTCATTTTTATCATTTGAAAAATATTGTATGAATATGAAATACAATATACTTATTTTATGTGGATTAATAAAATTTTGTATTAAATTGGCAAAGAAAAATATTAATTCAGTTATAATTGAATTAGTTCAAGATAAAGATAAGTAAAAAATCGCAAATAATTAGATATAACTCACACATACTTACATGTAACTCGCGCATAAAAGTATGTAACTCATGTATAACAAGATGTAACTCACACATAACAAGATGTAACTCACACATAACAAGATGTAACTCACACATATTAACTTGTAACTGGAGTATAAGATGATGTAACTTCGTATATTATCAAATGTAACTCCAAGCTAGAAGCAAAATAAACAAACTCAATATCTTAAAAACCTCTAAAACATATAAAAGTGATAAAAAAAATATTATAGAAAAAGTGTATGCATATAAAAATATATTACAAAAAATGTATGAATGTAAAAAATTAAAATTACATAGGCAATATTGGTCTCATTTGAAAAATCATGAAAAATAAAAAAATTTGATATAAATTTTATAAAAATCGGATCAAAAATAAAAAAGAATATTAACAACTAAGAAAGGGAGAAATAAAAAATAACAAAGGTGCATGTTCATGGACGGATTCCACCGTATAAACACTAAACTTTGACGGTAAACAAAGAATTTTGTTTAAAAAATAAGCGGACCCACATACCGGGGCCCGAAGCGACAAAGAATTTTGACGGTAAACATCACACTCATCCGTCAAGAGTTGCATTTCCCCACAAAACTCACACTCTTTTCTTCCCTCCGCCGGTTCCAAACAAATCCACAGAGCCTCACTGCAAAGACCACCCCTTTCAGCAAAACCCACGTTTTTAATTCCTTGTGTGTAACTGTGTATATGTTTATACTAAGAACATGCATTTACGGATAATGAATTGAAATCCTCCGTAGTGCACGCAAATGCCGCCGCTTTCGAGGTTATATCGCGTCTGCTTCTTCTTCCTCTCTGTTTTTGCGATCCTTCATCTTCCTTTCTCTGTTTCTGGTTTGAATCAAGAAGGACGTTACCTCCAAAGACTGAAGCTTTTCCTCTCCGACCCAAACGACGCCTTTTCTTCATGGTCCGATCGTGATCCTACCCCGTGTAGCTGGGCCGGAGTTGAATGCGACTGCAGCGGTGCCGTCGTCGCCGTCACTCTCTCCGGGTATTCTCTCGCCGGCCCCTTCCCGTAACCTCATCAGCCTTGACTTGTCGCAGAATCTCATTGGCGGACCCATCCCGGATACCCTCTCCGACCTCCACTTTCTCAGGTATGTTTACCGTTAATTTTAACATACTCTGCTTTTTAAAACTTTCTTTACCACTTCCCACACCCTGTTGAAAATTGAAATTAGTGAAGAACTTAACAAAGTCTTAGCTTTTTGTGTTTATTTGCTACTCTTTGACCTTTACATTATGTTGTCATCGAAATCAAATCATAATGCGATTTTAGTTTGTTAATTACTCTTGAATAAATGCTCATTGATACACCGTATATGATTTACAGTAATTGTACGGAGTATTTATTAGTGTGGTTATCAAGTGGAATGATACTGTAATATGACATATTTAACTTGCAGGCATCTTGACATCGGTTACTGCAGCTTTTCCGGTCAAATCCCGGCGACGTTCGGAAGATTTCGGTCATTGGAGACACTTGTTTTATCCGACAATGAGTTGAACGGAATAGTTCCGGTCATTCTGGGTAACATAACGAGTCTGAAGAGGATTGAACTCGCTTACAACCAATTTTCGCCGAGTCAGTTTCCGGCAGAACTCGGCAACTTGACGAATCTTGAATACCTATGGCTGGGCGGGTGTAATCTTGTGGGTCCGATTCCAGAGAGCATTGGAAGGCTGAGTCGACTCACTAATTTCGACGTGTCTAACAATCGACTCACTGGGTTGATACCCAGCACGATTTCCCAAATGAAGAGCATCGTTCAAATTGAGCTGTTTAATAATTCTCTCACAGGAGAACTGCCGGCGCGGTGGTCAAACCTGACCCAGTTGCGGCGGATTGACGCTTCGATGAACAGTTTAACAGGTACGATTCCGAGGGAGTTATGCGAGTTGCCCCTCGAATCGCTGAGTCTATTCCAAAATCAACTCGAGGGTTCAGTGCCAGAGAGCATCGCTAATTCTTCAAATTTAAAGGAGCTGAAACTGTTTCACAACCGTTTCATTGGGCCATTACCGAGCCAACTCGGATTGAACTCGGCGTTGAGTTTACTGGACGTCTCTTACAACAACTTCTCCGGGACGGTCCCAGAAGGGCTGTGCGACGGGGGATCTTTAAGCGTGCTCATACTGATGAACAACACTTTTTCAGGGAATATTCCGGTGAATCTCCGCCGGTGCCTGACTTTGAAACGGATTCGGTTTCGGTTTAACCAGCTTTTCGGGGAAGTGCTCGCGGAGTTATTCGGGTTGCCCCTTGTATACCTCTTAGACTTGAGTGACAATGATTTTTCTGGAAATATATCAACGATGATATCTGCAGCGAAGAGTTTAGAGAGCCTTCAAATTTCCAGAAATAGATTCTCAAGCTTCATTCCCATCGAAATCGGAACCTTGGCGAAATTAGGTCAATTTTCTGCCAGTCAAAATGAACTTCAAGGAGAAATTCCATCTACTTTGATGAACATGAAGCAACTGTTTTCCGTTGATCTTAGTAACAACAACCTCTCGGGGAAAATCCCGAATGGAATCCAGTCAATGGTGCAGCTAATTGAGCTTAATCTAGCCAACAATCAATTATCTGGTGAACTTCCGTATGGAATTGGAAACTTACCAGTTCTGAATTATCTCGACCTTTCTGGAAATCAATTCTCAGGAATAATCCTGTCGAGTTTCGAAAATCTGAAGCTTAACACGTTTAATCTTTCGAATAATCGCCTCTCAGGGGAAATCCCTCCTCTCTTTGACAAAAGCATCTACTGGGACAGCTTTCTGGGGAATCCTGCTTTATGTCGCGGTTTATGCTCTTCCATGACTAAACAAAAACATGAAGGTCATACATGGCTGATGAGAGCCATTTATGCAATGATAGTAGTTGTTTTCCTTCTCGGATTAGTCTGTTTCATATATAAACACTTGAAATTTAATGCAGCAAAACGGTCTGGTGCGCCATTATCCAAATGGACTTTTTTCTACAGAATCAGTTTAAATGAATGTGAGATTCTCAAATGTCTAGAAGATTCAAATGTGATCGGAAACGGGGCTTCTGGAAAAGTCTATAAGGTGAGTCTAAGCAACGGAGAAATAGTTGCTGTGAAGAAGTTAAGGAACAAAGACGAGTTTGACATTGAAGTTGAAACGTTGGGGAAAATCAGGCATAACAACATTGTGAAGTTATGGTGTTGCTGTGATGCAGGAGACTGCAACTCATTGGTCTATGAGTACATGCCAAGAGGAAGCCTGTGAGATTTGCTGCACTGGCCAACCAGGTTCAAGGTTGTCTGTGATGCTGCCGATGGTCTATCCTACCTACACCATGATTGTCTGCCACCTATAGTTCACCGGGATATCAAGTCTAACAACATATTGCTGAACGATGACTTTGGAGCGAAGATTTCAGATTTCGATGTAGCAAAAGTAGTTCGGTGTGCCGAGTCCATGTCTGTCATTGCTGGTTCTTATGGTTACATTGCTCCAGGTAACTGTGCTATTTTTTTACTGCTTTTTTCTGCTTTTATACCATGTTGATCGTTTGAATTACAATCTCACTGAAGTTGGAGTTCCAATGCCTTTTACTTTTTTATTTCCATGTTGGTTTAGGATACCTTAAAACATTTATATATAGAATACAAGGATTCTAATTTATTTGTTTTTTCTTTTTGCTGAATATCGGGCGCGGGGCAAATGTTGCCAACATATTAGTAGCGTGAAAAATTTGGAGCTTGAATGATCGCAAATATCAATCTAAAACATAAACTGTTGTTTGTCGTGATCTATTTAATTTTATGTTAAGTATCAATATCACGAAAACATAAGTATAAATTAACAAATAAAAGATATTAAACTTAGTAAAATTATAAAAACAAAAACTCATTGATGTTTTGATTCTTAGATTGACAGTTTTCACTCATAAGATGCTTTAGGAATTGATCTAACAAGCCCTGACATTTTAACCACTGCTATTATTTGGTTGCAGAATATGCATATACTTTACATGTGAACGAGAAGAGCGACATTTACAGTTTCGGAGTTGTGATGCTGGAGCTGGTGACTGGAAGAAGGGCTGTTGAGGCTGCGTTTGGGGAGAAAGATTTGGTAAGCTGGGTTACCTCAAACGTGAACAACAATGGACTTGACAAAGTGATCGACCCAAACATGGATTCTTGTTTCAAAGAACATATATGCAAGGTTCTTGATATTGCTCTTTTATGCGTTAGCACTGTTCCGCTCAACCGTCCTTCAATGCGCAATGTGGTTAAACTCCTCCGAGAATCACATGGAAATCTTTACCCAATGGTTAGGAAGAATTGACTCGAGTCTCTGTTGATAAGTAGGTATAAAAGGTTAAGGTCACAATTTTCAGAATTAGCTATTGCATTCTTCTTGTAAGCTGCATTCCTAACCTTGTTTTAAATTTCTTTTGCGGGTTTGGCAGAGCAATCTAGACAAGTCAAAGTACTGGGATTATTTGTTAAAATAATGCATTCAATATATTTGTTTATCCAATATTATAATAATGTTTATCATTATAATATAATGACAGTATAAATTAGCATAACATTGAATGACAAACTTGCCATGAACAATCACAAATAATACCAAGCAAAACAACATTGTGTTTTCATGGATCCAAATATACTCAAAACGAGCATACAAAAGTAGTATTTCAAGAAAAGTTATTGTTCATTTCCTGTGTTTTAAGAAAACACCCAATCAAACTAGCAGAAAATCATTAACAAAATTATACTTCCTCCGTTCTTAAATAAGTGGAACAGTCAATATTTCACATTTGCCGAGACAAAACTTTGACCATTAATATATATAATTCTCTATTAGTAAAAAATTTAAAAAAAATAGTTTTTGAAAATTTACAATGAGACAAATTTAATAATATATTTTTCAAAAAAATATATTAATACATCAATAAATAAAATGTAATCAAAGTAGAACATGTGAATAGTGTAAAATTTCACATGTTGCACTTATTTAAGAACGGAGATAGTATAAGTGAGCAAAAACATAAGATGATAAGCAATTTAAAACCTTATATATACAAGTATATCTAGAGTTAAAGTAGAGTCTACATTCGTCCAACGAAAACTACCTTGGAACAATTCCACTGCCACCTTCGTTATCTTGTCACCACCACCACAAGTATAGGGTTGGAAAAGAACATTTGAGAAAAGAAAACTCACGGAGAACAAGCGTGCAGATAGTTTGTGAAGGTGGGGAAGAATGTTATGTGGAAAATTTAAAAAAAATGATATTGTAGTACTATGTACTCCGTATGAGTATTGTATGAGAATCAAATGAAATGGTTAATATTAAATACTACCTCCGTCCTGAAAAGGTTCGTCATATTGACTTTTCTTGGTCAATAATGACAATTTTGGGCAGTTAATTTGATTATTATATTTGTATATAATTTTCAAATTTTTTATTTTTTAAGAAAATATTTTGAATAAGGAACATTTTGATATAATATTATATTCGAAATAATTTCATATTAAAAAATAACATTAGTCAAAGTTGATTGTCATTGACCATTAAGAGTAATTTGATGAACCTTTCCGGTATTAGTTTGGACTGTTAGCCTTACATGTGTTCAATGTTGAAACCTATAAAGCCACTTTTTTTTACTTCTAGTACTTATCTAATGCTTAATACTGTTTCACCATAAAATTGGAATTAAATTGGTTAGAATTTATTTTTTCAAATGATCCGATGATTGAAACTAAAATTTAATGCTAATAACTAAAAAATCGAAATATTGTCAAGTACCTTGTGATCTGATGTTATCACAAGTAGGAAGTCACGTTCGAATATAATCCCAGCTCAAGGACGTTGGTCTTAACATCAAATAGATACTATAATAGGTCAAGAAAATTTGCCAAAAATTTGGACCATTAAACTCAATTTTCAGCTAAAAAATAAGTTGGACTGTGTGAGTCTGGACGGACAAGATCATTTCTCCAGTGTTATTTACGAGTATAAGATATGATCTATAATCCCCTAAATATATTAAGTGCCAGTGGTAGTTAGTACGGCTCATTTGCCGTTTGAACAGTCCCCGGTCGTTACCCCTTACTGCAGCAAATCCAACTAACGCTTTCCGCCATTTGTTCCCCCATTTTCTGCGTTTATTGTCCTGCTTCGTCCACTTTAACTCATTGTGCGGCCAGGATCGTTGATTGCCAGGATCGTTGATTTGTTTTTTGTCAGGTCGGTGCAAACAAAGATAAATATCATCTCATCACCCCTTCCTGTCACATTTCAGTTCCGCAAGCTTCTTCCGTCGGCTTATGCTGTAAGTTTTATTGTTACTCTTATCTTTCTTTTGTGCGTATGATCTTTCTCTGTGTTTGTTGATTCCATGGACGTTCTTGGTGTGTTGTTGTGTACTCTGGTGGTTCCGGAATTCCGCTTTATTTGGGGTGTTGTGGGTGTTTTTGGTAGTGTTTTGTTTGGAACTGCTTCTTTTACTTGTACTGTTGTATTTGGTTGTACTGCTTTCGGATTCAGTGGTGTTTTTCTTCACCACGCTAATTCCTCAATCATCTGTGGTTTGTTTTCCTTTATCCCTCCATGTTGGTGACACCCCTATTTGCCTCTGATGTTGTGTTGTTTATCCTTTTAAAATGATCTTTATCTTCATTTGTTGATGACTGTGAATTTGATAGCCTTTCGCATTGCTTTGTTCTTTATTCCAGAGCTATGCGATGTTTAATTGTGTCTTTTAGGGTGTTTCAGGTGTGGTTGGTAGTCTTTTGTTTGGAGTTGTTTCTTTTTCATGTGGGTTGTTGGTAGGTTGTAATGTTTTGGGTTGCTGTTAGTGTTTCTTTTTCTGATAGCTTAATCATATTTGGGTTTTGTTTTTCTTGTGCCCCTCTGATTTTGTTGTGTTTGTCTTTTTCGTTTGATTTGTGATGTGTCATTTGTGCAATCAAATTGGTCGTTGGTTTCCGAAATTTATAAGATCTTATGTGTTGCTGATATGGGTTTTCTAATTTCAAAATTGGGTTTGTGTGATGATGTTGGATGATTGGTATTTTATTGGGGCGTATATGGTATTTGACACGTGCTTTATTAGTGTTCGGGGTTGTTGGTGTTTTGATGATTTTTTGTCTATTGTTGTGGTCCGTTACCATATAGCAGGGTGATTTTGCCCTAAAATGGGAGTACCTCACTTGTGTTTTTTGTATTCAGGTAGTGCACGGGTACATTTGCAGTTCCAGGAATTTACTTTTTCGCTCACGTAAGTCTTATGTATTATATTTTTTTAGGTTTACGTTGGGAGCAATTTTATGTTTGTGGTCGTCGGTGCTTTTGTTGTGTGGTAGTCGTGTTGAGTATTCGTTACCTAAATGTTGTATGTTCTTTTGTTTTATCCCTTCAACGTATTTCGTTGTTGTTTTCCCTTCTTTCCTTTACTTTGTTATCACCGTGGTTTGTGGTATGTTTGGGTGGTCGTTTTGTAGGTTGGGGTGAAAATGTTGTTGGGTGGGTGGTCATTGGTGTGGAGGGATGGTGTGATATTTTAGCATATTATTCGCTATTCAACTTTGTTTGAGTACTGCACTTGTCAATGCCTCCTCGTGGTGGCCCTGGTAGCCGTGTCCCTCTAAATGAACAGCGTGAACGCCGAAATAAACGCCGGCGCGTACAACCCGAAGGACAGACTACGTCTCATAAACGGTGTGCAAGTGGCTTAACTGGCACAGGAGAACACGAAGGTTGCAGTGCAGAAGTCGAAGGTCTGCGCCCTTTCAATCATACGCTTGTCTTATTCGTTAGTTTCGTGCTCTTTGCTTTGATGGTTTCTGATTTTTTTTTCTCCTTGTGGGATTGATTTCTTCCTGTGTGTTAACCCATTGCACGTCGTAGCTCCTTCTCTTATATTGTGGTTGCCAACGACCATTTGTCCGCTTCAAAATACCTATGTATTATAACCCATTAACGGTGCCATGCTAATCTATTACCCCTTGCCAAAAAAATTGACTCTTTTATAATTGGCTGTTTTCTTGCCACCACCCGTCTTCGCACGTGCCTTCTGTCTTCTTCGAGTTGTGAATGAAACTTACATGCTCGATGATGTTCCTGATTGTTTACTCTGCGGTGCTGAGCGCCTTCAGTATGAATCTCCTGGGATGTGTTGTAGTCGAGGTGAGGTTGTGTTGACCTCTACAGACATGCCGACACAGCTACAAAAGCTTTTCACAGCGCGTGACCCCGTGTCAACCCATTTCTGCTCATGTGTACGGACATACAATAACACATTTGCGTTCACGTCCATTGGTATTTACAACTACGACAAGAATATGTGCCGTCGAAATCAGGGGATCTACACTTTTAGAGTGCGGGGACAAATTTATCATTTCATCAATGACTTACTCCCAGATGGTTGCCCCCTCGGAATCTTCAATTATATTTCTATGATACTGAACACACCTTAGAGAACAGGCTTGATTCCACGTCCCGTCTCGATAAAGATGTTGTCTCAGTTTTGATGGATGTGTTGTCTGCTAACCCGTATGCACAATTCTTCAAAACACTCACGGATGTAGCCCGTAGTGATGACTTTTCAATTGTACTGAGTGCAAATCCTTCCTTGGATCAATTGTACTGAGTGCAAATCCTTCCTTGGATCAGCTGCTATTTGGGTAGAGGATGGGTATGAGGGCCTTCCATCAGCCAGACACATTCGTGTTTACTCACGTAGTGGACAATCGCAAAATGTGCATTACTATTACAGATGTTACGACCCGTTACAATACCCTCTTCTTTTTCCACACGGTGAGGTTGGATGGCACGAGGGTATCCCAAAAGGTAATTCTGCCTGTGCCCGAATTGCGCAATCTGCATCAACCTCATTGTCGATCAGTTGTAATCAATTTGATTCCGACGTAAACCTGCTTTCCCATGAAGAATTGTTGCGGGTGAAGGCAAATAAGAAACACTCGGTGTCATGTCGCCAGTATTATTCGTACAAGTTGCAGCTTCGTCATAGTTCCACTTCATTTATCATGCATACTGGCAGGCTATTTTAGCAATATGTTGTTGACATATACATAAAAATAGAAACCCAGAGGCTTGATTATTACCGTAGCAAACAACGTGACTGTCGTTCCGAAACATACCAAGGGTTAGTTGACAGTGTGGAGTCGGGCCTAACCAACACCAGTGATATTGGCAGGCACATCCTCTTACCAAGTTCTTTCATTGGTGGGCCCTGTGATATGCGTGGGCGTTACATGGATGCAATGACTCTTGTGCAAAACTACGGTAAACCAGATCTATTTATAACCAGCACATGTAACCCCAATTGGCCTGAAATAAAGAATCACCTAGCATTTGCTGATGAGGTTCAGAATCGGCCAGACCTTGTTTCCCGTGTGTTTCGTGCCCGGTTGGAGAGCTTGAAAAAAGACATCATCACTAAGGGTTTGTTTGGGACCGTAGTTGCATACACATATGTGATTGAATTCCAAAAGAGGGGATTGCCCCGTGCGCATTTCCTACTTATCCTGAATGATGTTGGGAAGATAACCACAGCGACACGGTGTGATCGTATAATCACTGCGGAACTGCTTGATCCTTTGACAAATCCAGTATTGTATGGCCTTGTTAAAAAGCACATGATCCATGGCCCCTGCAGAGTTATGAACCCAGCGTGCCCATGCATGATTGTATCTCATGGAATATCCGTGCCAATGTGCAGAAGTAAATATCCGCATGACTTTGCCCATGTGATGACATTTGATGAGAATGCCTTCCCATCATACAGAAGGCGAGAATCCGGGATAACTGTCTTTGTGAGAAAACATACACTTAACAATAGGTGGGTTGTCCCTTACAATGCGTGCTTGTTAAGTAAATATGATTGCCACATTAACGTGGAAGCTTGTGCAAGCGTCCGGTCTGTTAAATACATATACAAGTATATTTACAAAGGGCATGATAGAGTGAGTATGTCTTTGACGGAAACAAGGACTCCTGAGGTAATAGATGAAATAAGCAACTTCCAAAAAGCACGCTGGGTATCTCCTCCTGAAGCTGCGTGGCATATTTTTGGATTTTCTATAGCTGAAATGAAACCCGCAGTTTTAAAGTTGCAGGTTCATTTGGAAAATGCTCAATACTTGTCGTTTTATGGGGATCAGCACATTACTTACATCACAGGAGCCACGGATTCTGTCAAAACTATGCTTACCCAATTCTTTGAAATGAATACGACTAACCAAGTTGCACGATCGTTGAATCTTCTTTACATCGAATTTCCACATTACTTCGTTTGGACTCCCCATAAAAAACAATGGACTCAACGGAAACAGAGGGAAGTACTGGGTCGACTTGTTTCTGTCAATCCCACTGAAGGAGAACGATATTACCTGTGCCTCTTGCTCGGCAGTGTTCGTGGTCCCAGGTCCTTTTCGGAACTTAAATATTTCAACGGTGAAACACTCCCGACATTTAGGTCTGCTGCAGAACGGTTGGGTTTACTCTCCGGTGATTTTCTGGTCCGTGCTTCTCTTGATGAGGTTGCAGTGTTTCAGTTGCCTTCCAACCTGCGTCGCCTTTTTGCAATCCACCTTTGTTTTTCTGAAGTTCCAGACCCGTGTGCGCTTTGGCTTGAATATAAAGAATATTTATGTGAAGACTTCACACGTTTCCAATCACAAAATGAGGCGGAACACTCAGCAATGTGCTTATTAAGAGAATTAGTAACTGAAATGGGACACGATATTGGTTCCTTTGCATTGCCTGATATCGAATCGGAAACTCCTGTATGTTCTGAGGTTCCCCGTGAAGTGTTAGCTGAACGTGATACATTGATCAGTGAGACAGACCTTGCAAATATATCGCTTTTGAATGAACAGCAACGCTCAGCGTTTGAAACAATCATGACAGCAGTCCGCGCATCTGAAGGGACAGTTTTCTTTATTGATGGGCCTGGTGGGACAGGGAAAACCTTCCTGTATAGGTGTTTACTTGCAGCAACACGGATGAACAGATGGATCGCGTTGGCCACCGCCAGCTCTGACATTGTTTCAAGCTGGTGGCCGCACTGCACATTACAACATAAACAATACATTCTCTCTGGTGGCCGCACTGCGCATTCTCGCTTTAAGCTTCCACCGGATGGGGAAACACAACATACGTGCAACATTGGCAAGCAATCTGCAGAAGCAAGGCTTCTACGGGAAGCACGTTTGATTTTGTGGGATGAGATAACCATGGCCAATCGTTTGATTGTTGAAAGTTTGGACACAACGATGCGCGACATTTTGGAAGTTAATTTACTTTTTGGCGGGAATGTAATGGTGTTTGGCGGTGATTTCAGACAAACTTTGTCAGTTGTAAAATCAGGAACACGCACTGACTTCATCAATGCATGCCTTCTTCGATCACTAACTATATGGCCACATGTGCACCGCCTACGTCTTACAGAAAATATGCGTGCCCACGAGGATCCAGCGTTTTGCGAGTATTTGTTGCGACTCAGAAACGGCACAGAATATCAGGTTTCACCGGGAATGGTGAAAATCCCATTCGCCTTCTTGATCCCTTGGGTCAATGAAAATGTTTCGCTTGAATTGCTATTACATTCAGTTTATCCAGACATGCAACAGTTTCTGGTCGATCCATACGCCCTGATGGGGCACGCCATATTGACAACAAAGAACGCTTTTGTTGACTTCATAAACTTATGTATTATGGATAAATTCCCCGGTGAAGCACATACTTATTTCAGCCATGATGCCCCTACGGATTCGAACAACGCGCACTGTGAGGACTACCTGCATACCTTGAATCCTGCTGGTTTACCACCACACACATTACAACTAAAATGTAATTGCCCTGTCATGTTACTCCGCAATATCAATCCCTGTGCATGTCTGTGTAATGGTACGCGATTGATATGTGATTCATTTGGTGAACATGTGTTAAGTTGTTTCATTGCCTCGGGAGATCACAAAGGGAAACATGTTTTCATCCCAAAAATCCCTCTGGAAGTTTCTAAAGATACACATGGTGTTTTGCCTTTTAAACGAACACAGTTTCCAATAAAAGTTTGCTTAGCAATGACAATAAACAAAGCACAGGGACAAACACTGGACTTTGTTGGAATCTATTTGAAATAACCAGTATTCTCTCATGGGCAACTCTATGTTGCAATGTCAAGAGCCAGAAATGCTCAGTCTGTTAAAATACTTATTTGTCCTGATGATGAAACACCGGATTCTCTTGATTGTACCTCTAATGTTGTCTACGATGAGTTACTACCTTTCATCAATTAAGCAGCCAAATTAACTGGTCTGGCTCTACTGCTTTGACAAAAACTTAATTATTTTTATTACCTAATTTGTTTGGTATTCACTTACTGATTTGTAACCTTTGCCTGCAGTGATTTTGTAAAAATGGTTTCCGAGATGCTAATCATTGATGTAAATCCGGAGACAAAAGTGTGGACATGCCGTGTGACTGTGATTGAAAAGCAAAACATACGCACAGCCAAAAATTCCCCCATGCGTTTTATGCCAATGGTTCTTGTGGATTCAGCGGTAAGTTGTAGATAGCAGGGTTCTTTATGTAAAAAGTCACACTGTACTCACATATTTTTTTTACTTTGCTTTTTGCACTATTATAGGGAACTAGGGTGGGGGCAACCGCTTTTGCGGCTGATATTAGTGCCATTGATGAACGTCTGCAATTGTACTCGACCTACCTCATTTCGAATGCATACGTTAAGCCATTGACTCAACTGCGTTTCTGTATAGACTACAACTACTAGTATGTATGGTCGTTCACTCGTCGAACATTCATTCAAGATAACCAACTTCATGATGGGGTCGACTACCGTGAACTTGCTGAAGGTTCTGCTAAACCATTTCGAGAATTGTTTGCTTGCCACTTGACCAATGAGAAATTCAGTATGTTATTAACAACTCGAATACTAAACCCCTTTGTCTCCTGCATTTGTCTAACTTTTCTATTTTTTCAAATAGGTATCTTAGCTGTTATTGTTGCTAAACTACCCCGAGGCTTCATAGTGACTGGTGAAAAACAAAAACTTGCATGGGATGTTGTTGTTGTGAATGAAGAGTAAGGTCCCATTGTATGCCTTGCGGATGTTTTTATAATTGACCACATGCAGTTATTCATTGTATCTGTTTCTTTCAGATTAATCCTTGTGCCTATGACCATATGGGAAGACTTTGTGAACCGCCATGGTGCAAACATTGAAAAATCGTTGGCATTGAACGATTGGCCTATTATGCTCCTTAGTAAGGCTGGCACAAATATTTATCAGGGTAAGGTCATTCATATTTCAATTAATATATGGAATTGTTTTTAGTTGTTAATATGCATTTAATTTCAATGTAGGTCTGTCGCTGGCAACCCGCTATGATTCCCACATGGAACTTAACCCTGGAGGTGAACGTGCTTTGGTGCTAAAAATTTGGTACTTTTTTTCCCAACAAAATTTTCCTTTGTACCATGTTCCTGTCTTACACCCTTCTTGATAATCCCTGTGTTTGATTCATTTTGAAACACAAGGTCTAGAGATAATAGGGGGAAGATTAACAACTTATTGCATGCGAAGGAATATGCCAATGCTCTCACTAATATTATAGACCCTGTTGCACAGTCTCACATCACTCTTGCAGCCTTGGAATCTGAACTAAATAAGATTTGTTTACAACAATATGTGACACTCTCTGCATTGTATATGTTTTGCTAATACACGTAATGCCCACATGTTTCAGTTGTTTGGGTATGTGCCAAATTGAATCTTGCTAACACTTCTGGAGAGGCACTACATTGGGTGCAACTATTGTAACCGCCGCGTTTACGCTCCGGAAGGCAGTGACTTTCAGTGCATGTTTTGTGGTCAGAAGCACAGGCAAACAGTCAAAAGGTGTGTGATTTTTACCAAAGTTCAGTTCCTAAGGTACTGATCCCTATTTGTTGAATTGTTTAATGTTCTTGCAGATTTATACTCAACGGAACACTCAGTGACCACACCGCGTCCATTCCAGTGACACTATTCACCGCTGACGTCCTTAAGATTTACTCTTACACTCTCATGAATCCTGAACAGGATTTTGATTTGGAAGAGTTAGATGCAAAGTTGCACAAAATGTCTCTTATTGCTGGAGTCAAGCGCGCTAAACCAAATGACGAAGGCCTTCGTTCAAACCCCTACAATATTGTGTGTGTTTCCCAACATAGTGGTTCTACCACAGCCACTCTTGCATCGCCCCCTGCTTCGTGAGTTTCAAGTGAAGCTGAACCTAGCTAAGCTTAGAGGAAACTCGCATTCACCTTCTTGAATGACTTTCCATTGCCTCAACCTGCTGCACCACCTGTGCTTCCTTTGCAGAAAGGGTACTCTGCTGATGAAAACCACACATCCTCAGGTTCAGAGGAAACTGAAGTTACCCCATCTAAAAAAAACAGACTGTGAAGGAACTGAGCAAGGAGTCGTTGCCTCAAAGTGGTGGCTCAGCTGCAGTATCTTCTGAGGAACAAGATGCAGAGAATCTTCCCCTCACCAACTTCCGCATTAAGAAACGCAAAAACTAACTTTGCCCATTGTTGAGTTTTTTTGTTCACCCACTGGTTTAGTGCAAGTCTTGTACGCCTGCTGCTGTATATACATAAATACACACCCTTTTGTTGGAACTGTAGGCCCTTTTTTCTAGACAATGTAGAACTACGCACATGTAGGGATCGATAGATAGGCCACACATACCTATTCTATTCCCATTATGTATGCCTACATTTTTGCAGGACTTTGCCTAATACGCATGATGCACATTGTATAACACATGCAGTTAATATTTGCTACTTTTGCATAACTGACCCATGTAATTAACTGTCATGTACTTTTCATATATGTGCACACTTTTCATATATGTGCACACGAATTGGTTCCCTATTGATGTATATACAGGAAAATGTGGTTCCTGTACACAACGCTCTGGAGTATTGTTTTTGAAGCACTAACACGTTGTGTGAGGACTACTTACCATACAAAGTAATGCATAATTAAGTCAAACTTTGGCTCAGATGCAACAAGTTCATTGCCGATTTGTTCTGCTTCAAAGAATTACAATCAACCTATATCAGGTGACATATTATGCATCATGTATATGTATACACATTCAATTATGCAATGATTTGTCTTTTAGTTATTTTGTCTCTACCTTTACTAATATAATATCAATTCTACCTTTTATTTTATTTTTTATCTCCATCCAATTCATCATGCAATTGACTACAAGTAGAGTAGTAAAAACAAAACACCACTTCAAATATTCTTCTTTGCCTCTCTCGATTATAAATAGACTTACCGCACACTTCCATTCACTTTCCGTACCAATTGTCCCTTTGTCTTCCTCTCTGATGTCCAGAGAACCCCGCGTTCATCACTATGGGTTTCAGCGCCATTCCTTCTTCCTACATGCGTGACAGGTTAGTTATCCACGCTCTCTGGTTTTCAAAGTTTTGTTACTACGTTAGCCACACATGCATTATGGTTAGATAATCACTCTTGTTTTTTACTTTAGCGTAATACTTTTATGCGTTTGTAATTGTTATCTCCTTTCTCTCCCTGTTTATGCATGTTAGGATTAGTTTTTGATGAACCATTTTGATGGAGTATATGGCCCGGGAACCCCCGGCCCACAGACTCCCAATACTCCAGTAAAGGCCCAACAGGCCCAGAAGGTCCAACAGGCCCAAATCATGGCGCCCGGAGTACCAAGCAGCCCACAGCGCACCAGGGGTGCCTTCGACCCCCTGGCCGAAGGCTCTAAACTCTCACAGAACGGGTTTCTCAAGCAAACCAAGAAACTGGGAGAAAACGGCGAGAACAGTAGCCCTCGGCATCAGGAGCCCTCGGCACCAGGTGCCCTCGGTTTGAGGAGCCCTCGGCTACTGCTCTATAGCCGAAGGCATCTCACTTGACAAGATCTCCTCTTCACGCGTGTACAGATCACCGTACCCTATGCAACATCCCATCCAACAGCCGCATTAAATGCGGCCACATGCGTTTGCCAACGCCAACCGGATGAGGTGACCTCTCGGCCTATGGATGCTTGACACGTGTCCCTGTCCGACATTTATTGCTACTATAAATAGCCCCCCATTTCCCCATTTGTAACCACGACATTCAGACTGAATACACTCTCTCTCTTACTTACTTGTGCTCTGACTTCTCTCTAAGTTATTCCCTGCAATAACCCTCGGATATACACCCCCCGGGTAGACTATCCATCATTTGGTGCTCTCGTTGAGAGGTCGAACAAATCGAGTAAGAAACCCTCCCCCTTCGCCAAACACTAGCCCTCTACCAAAAATGGTGAAAACAACACGTGCCAACTCCAAAAACGTGGAAGACAAGAACCTAGCCCTCGGCGACGTCAACGCCCCCGAAGCCTCTCACAGGGCTCCCGAGGGCGGTGTCATCGCTGGGCTGGAACAGGCGGCTGTCGACCTACGCCTTCAGATCCAACAGAATGCCCCCGATGCCCGCCTCGGCATCGAGGCCAAGAAGAAAAACCGGAGCGATGACCAAGTCAGCCCTCCGGTTCTCATCATCGACGTGCAATCGCCGCTCTCCGCCTTCATCCAAACGCTCACTCAGAACCCGGGTGCCTTCGGCACCCTGGCTCCGGCTCACCCCCAGGTTGGGGAGAACATCATACTTCCCCCTCTGCCACACCCCTTCAGAAACCCCACCCCTCGGGTTAGGAACAACGAAGGGGTAGTGGCCCAAGATACGTCCTCCCAGGAAGTTCAGTCCCGGGACCGCCATAATGACGACAGGGAAAGGCCCTGCACTTCCGCCCTCAACCGGCTCGGAGGAGGGCCAGACCGCCGAGGGGTCCAAGACCGCCTCAGAGGGAAAGCACTCCAAAGGCTCCAGGAAAGCGGAGGGTCTGTCTCGAGGGCAGACGAGGAGCGTCCCCCTCGGGACAAAGGCAAGGCACCCCTTCATGCCAATGATGCTCGCCACCAGATCAACCAGGCCCACTCGGCCCAGGTTCGTTCGCAGGGGGCGGAGACCCTCCCGAAGGATCCCCGGGACGAAATTATTGCGGCCCTCCAACGCCGGCTTGATGAAATGGAGGCCAACAAAGCTCACGCCACCACCTCCACCCCTCATTCAGATCTCAAATACGAGGCCATGATGGCCAAAATGGAGGAATTACAGAAAAAGGTGGCCGAGGGCTCCGGGGAACCCGTCATCCAGCTCCGGACCCGGACGCCATTTACCCCAAGGGTACTGGCGGCCCGGATCCCGGAAAAATACCGAGGGCAGCACATACAGCCCTATAACGGGAAGACAGACCCCCAGGAACACTACAGCAAATATCAAAACAGCATGATGATGGTAGGGGCGTCGGACGAATATTTGTGTCGTTGGTTCCTCTCCACCTTAGAGGGGCCGACATACGAATGGTTCAACCGGTTGCCCGAGGGCTGCATTGATTCGTGGCAAGAACTCGCCCAGCGATTCTTGACACAATTTGCCGGGAGGCGTCGCACAAGGAAGCACTTCTCCCACCTCCTAACCATACGCCAGAAGAGGGATGAGACCCTTCGGGACTTCCTGGAGCGCTGGAGAACGGAAGCCGACAAAGTCGACGGTGCTGATGACGGGACCCTCCTGGCCCTCCTACAAACCGTCCTCCGCACCGGCAACTTTTCGAGGAGCCTCATCATTGAACCCCCCCCCCCCCCCGCGCGACTACATAATGGCTTTGCAGCGGGGGGACCGATATGCTGAGGCCGAGGAGGTGGAGAAATACCACCAGCATCCAGATCAGCAACCCCCGAGGGCTGACAACAAGAATAACCGGGGGCCGGGGGCTCCTCCAAATCACCCCAAGTCTTCAGGACCCTCTGATGACCGCCCTCGGCAAGGCCAAGCCAAGCCCGGGGGAGGTTATAAGAGCAGCCCTAAGACTTGGGCGCAGCCCATCCTCCTGGACCGCCCCCGGACACCATTGACGCACCCCGTCAGCATCATCCTTGATTTTGCTGAGGAGAGGGGCCTCGTTGAGCGCGACTCTCGCGCACCCCCGGAGGTACATGCTATCAACCCTCAGTTCCCATACTGTCGCTTCCATCGGCACCAGGGGCACAGAACCGATGACTGTCATCAGCTGAAGACGGCCATCGAGAGATTGATACAAGCGGGGCACCTGTCCCAATTTGTTCAGAGCCCTCGGCAGGAGGGACCTTCTCATCAGGGACCTCCCCGAGGGCACCACACGAAGGTGAACGCTTGGGTGAACCCGAACACCATCCCCCTCGGCAAGAAGAGGGAGATCGGAAACTTGGAGGAGGAAGAGGAGGAGTACCCCCACTACCAGGAGAAAAAACGCCACATCCTCATGATCACCGGCGGCAATACAGGGGGCGATTCCACCAGCCAGCGGAAGAAGTGGGCTCAATCGCTTTACGTGGGGGAAGTCACTCATATGCCCCCGATAAAGCGACTGAGGGAGAAACCCATCACTTTCACCAACGCAGATCTCCCTCCTACTTCTTCTCCTCACAGGGATGCCTTGGTGATTCGGACTGAAATAAACGACACCATCATTCACCGAACTTACATTGACACGGGCAGCTCCGTCAATGTAATGTACCTCAGCACCTTCAGAGAGCTGCATCTGGAGAGGGGGTCCCTTCGGCCCATTAAGACCCCTCTTGCCGGCTTCACCGGCGACACTATTGATTCCGAGGGGGTAATAACCCTCCCGATGATCTTCGGCGACGGGCTCCATAGAGTCCAGCTCGAAGTGGAGTTCGTCGTCGTTAACATCGACTGCGCCCACAACATTATCCTCGGCCGGCCAGCCCTGGAGGACCTCGAGGCCATCATCTCCATGAGGCACCTCTGCCTCAAGTTCCCCACCGAGGGGGGCATTGGCTACTCCCGGGGGAATCAGAAAATCGCCCGCGCCTGCTATCTTCAAGTCACTAAGAAGG